GCTTCGAGTGTCCCCTTTCTGAAGCTACCATATCACCCGACTTCTTCCTCCTCCATTTGTTCCCAAGTTGCTCCTCTTTTTCCAACATTATTTATGAGTAAGAAAGGAAGCCAAGGTAAGAACAATGGTATGTTTCTGGCTTTGCAGGGAGGACACACAGTTAGATAATAACCTTTGCCCCTGGGACCAGAGCTTAGTCTGGGATCACAGGGCACAAATGAGCTACTGTATACCAGAGAGAAAATGTCCTGGCTTCCCCAAAGCCAAGAGGTACACCTGCTTTAGAAAATGATGCTACCTGTCTAAGATTACTTGTTCCTTTCTAACCAGGGCTGAGCTAATCACCATCTCTGAGCTTCTTTTGCTCTAAGATAGTTATTCTTAGAAGAACCATACATGGGATTCTCTGTAAACTGTGTCTGGCACACACTATTGACTATTAAGTTGAATTATTGCTAATGAAGACAACTTGGGGGGTTTGGTTTTGTTCCCTGCTGTGTGTTTTTAGCTTCTTCGTAGCAAAAGTTGTTCTCTTTTTTGTTTTTGTTTCTAAATCAATGTAAAACCAGGCATGGTGGTCCATGCCTGCAATCATGGCACCTGAAGGCTGATGGGAGAAGATCAAGAGTTCAAAGCCAGCTTGGGATATGTAATGAGACTCTCCCTGTCTCAAATACCACCACCACAAATTCCTTTAAAAAATAATGTAGACAGCCCTGATTTTGAACCCTCTACTACCCTGATAAAAAGCTGGGACAAGTGGTACATGTCTTTAATCCCTTGAGCTTTCTGGCCAGCCTGTGGAGCTGAAACTGTGACTCCAGGTTCAGTGAGAGATGCTGTTTCAAACATCAAGGAGGGAAGCAATAGAGAGAACCAACCTTTGGCCATCACAGGCATCTGTACACACACACACATGCCCACACACCTATGTAGCTATTAAGGTTGGTCTGAATTACACAGATTTCATTCCTAAGTCCCATTCCCTGTTGCTTCCTGCTTCTATCATTCACTGGCAAGGAAGAATTTATTTTTTCTTTACTTGTACCTGTCTTGACCTGCTGACACTCCTAGCCCCACTCAAAAGCCTCAAACCTTAAAGTGCCTTGTCCTCCTTCCCTCTCTGCCACCCACCTTAGCCAGTGACATTCCTCGATGCATTTCAGCCCAGCTCACCACATACACAGACATACCCTCTGAAGCTGCTGATTCCTTATCCCTCTGTCAGAAAGTCAAAGCAAATCCAGCCTGGAGTTCACAGGTCGGTGCCACCTCAGTTCACATATTGTCTAACCGAGACCGGCCAGGCTAGCATCTAGGCCAGAATGCTGCCAGGCACAGGACCTGGCATTGTATTTTCACTGCCAATCAGTCTGTATGCATCACCCAGAATGAGGGCCCAATGTGCACCTGTCACGTAGTAATACTGACCTCTAGGGAAAGGCTTTCCATCACAGAGTGTCTTTATCTTCTCATTGAGTTCCAGGACAGTAATGGCCGCCTCTTGCTTAGCTATTGCCAAATCAGTTTGTAGCTTTTTCACTGTCTTTTTGTGCTTTAGTTTCTTAAAAAAATAAGAATTTCCTGTCACTGGAGACTGTAGATGCATCAAAGGAATCAAAGGAATTAGTAGTGTCTGGGCAAGCATTGCTTCTGAAGCCCTGTTTAGGGGAAACACTCGCTTCATCTAAGCTCACTCCATCATCAGCTCTTTTTATTTTCTTGGGTAGGGGGAGGTAGGGGGTTTGTCTAGATCTAAAACCTGTGGTTTGGATACTTGAATAGAGGCAATTAAAAAAACTCTATTTGTCATTTAGCATTTACGACCAGGATGCTAATGCTTCCAAGCATCAGGTTTCTACCTCAACCTGTAAGCAGATTCATGAGAGACAACCAGAGCCTTGATTACGAGTCCCGTCTCCCCTGACATTTGAAGTTTCTCTGCATTCAAATGAACTCTGGAGCACATGTTGCAACCAGGAAGTAAAGAAATGTAGGCACTTGCTGATACTTATTGTGGCCTCTGTAAAGGGAACATGGTCAGATCTAAACCTTCCTGGGAACTCTATTGGGGAGTATTTACATAACGGAAGGGTTCACACTGAGCCTTTCTGGATCTCAAAGTGGATTTGATTTATCAGAACTGGACTCATCTGCAGAATTGGAGCCAGTTTGTTAGAACAAGTGCTGCTTTCGCACATTCGTGTTGCTCTTGGGTAGCTGCCTTCCCACTGCAGAGCTCACCTTGCCAAGTCTTTGTGGCTGATAATTAAGAGGCCCAGAGAATGAACAAAAAACAGTACTTGTTGAACACAAATCTTGAGACAGGAGAAGGAATGGTCACTAGGAAAGAACCTACCCTTCTCTGGCCTCTGAAGGGCATGGGCTCAGGGTCCAGGAAGTCAGCCTCTTGGTGTAAAAAGCCAGTGAAATCAGCTAGTCAGACATAGGGTTAGAAGGACACAGATTTCAGGTTCCAGAGATGTGTGATAAGGCAAGGGGTGCAGCTAAGTGGGAAAGCAAAATCAAAAGCAGATTGTCAAGCCTTGCACAGTTGCCCATGCCTGTAACCACAGCAATGCTTGGGAAGTGAAGGGAGGAGCAGCAATGGGTCAAGGTTATTCTCAGCTATATATCAGAGATCAAAGCTGGGGTGGGCTACCGGAGACTATCACTTGTGAAATAAAAACAGAAAAGGACTGTCTTTCAGACAATACAGGATGATAAGAACATCAAAAAATCTTAATTAATGATATCAAGATGGCTAAAAGCAAAAGAACAATTTAAAGGAATGGTAGCAAAGGAGCCTTTCTCCAGGGAATTGGAGAGCTAGCATATGGCAGGGTTTACCCTTGGCAGTCCACAGCCCAGGTACCCTGACTTCTCAGCAGCCTTCCTCATTTCATTATGACACATGCCCTGATTATCAGGAATTGCCCTGGGTTGGCAGACTGCTGAAATCAAGACCATTAAAACCCTGTAGTTTCTCCCCTCCTGAGTGTCTAGTCACTAAAACCATTCATGATTCACCTTGGGAAATAGATTAGTTCCGGAAGAGACTGAGCTGAACAGGGAGTGTGTCAGGAAAAATGCTCACAGTCAGTTGTTAAATTGTCAGGCAGACCTGTATCTCCTCTCAAGAGCTAGCTTGAGCCAGTTTGTTCCTAAAGACCATGTCTACCCCAGGCCAGCAGCAACAGCATCTGGGAATCCCTGGGCGCTTGCTCCCTTTTCCTGTTGCTTTCTCAAGAGTATTTCACACTCGGATTTTCACCATGCCTGTTACAACTTAGAACTTTGGAGATAGAAGCATATGTACATTAATACTGAAGAAGTAAGGATGATGAAGAGATGTACAACAAGAGGGGAAAAGAGGAGAAATGAACTAAAAGTAGAAGAAAGAACTAATAATAAAGAGCACGGCAAAGCATCGAGTACTAGATGTACTGATGGGGCCAGTTACACCGACATGCACAGAACAGCTCAGTGAGTGATGAACTGGTAGAGAAACAGACAGGAGACACACTAAGGGGCAGAGTGAGAAATCTAAGGCTTTGTTACATATTTGTTCACTATGACACGGCTCCAGTATCTCCGTATGCTCGGGGTTTAAAAAAATATTGAGGATGAATTAACAATTAAGAATTTGCTTTCCTTATGATTCTTTTTTTTTTTTTTACTATACCTTTTGGGACAGGGTTTTACTGTATATCTCAGGATGGCTTCAAACTTGAGATCTTACTTCCTTATAGATGAGTGAACACTGGTCATTCTTAATAGTCTATATTAATTTTCTTAAACCATGTTAAAATTGTTTGAAGAGAAGTATTTTTCTAGAAGCGTTTCTTAAAGTAGGCATTGATCATTCGTAAACAAAGTAATAAGTAAAGGCAACCTGGTAAGAGTTGGTGAACTATAACCTTGAGTTGACATGACAGTTGTAATCTAAACCCAAGGTGTAGACATAGTGCATCTCAATACCCACTTTGAACCTTTCTTCCTTTCAGCTTGGTTTTTATTTCTTGGTGTTTGAATTCAGATCCTTGCATACACAAAGCAACTATCCACCTCTAAGCTGTGCCCCAACCCCTCAACTATTCATTTAAGATACTTTACTTTAAAAAACTATAACTTCAAGACTATATTGTTCTTCTCTTAAGGTAGTCATGTGTCAACCTTTTCTTATTATTATAACATTTATCTGCTTGCCTTATGACCTAATAGGGAAAGTGAGTCTGTTTTGTTTGGCGAAAACAGTATCCAAGGGCAGTCATGACAGTTGACTCCAACTATCTAAGGGACTATTCAAGGGGAGAGGAAGTTGAGTCAAACCATGCTGTTCTAGAGATACAATGAAGAACAATGGGGAGAAAACATGAGGAGGCAGGTTTTGGCAGGACATGAGAAAACACTCCCCAACAATCAAAGCTGCATCCATAATAAGATAGGATGGGTCCTGGCGAGGACCTGCCGCTCTGGGAATGATCAAGCAGAGACAGGAGGAACATCTCCAGGCAGGCCCTGGTAACTCTGGAAGCTGGGTCAAGAGGTAATTCAGAGTTTGGCTCAACCCCCAGTTGTTTCCATCTCTGGCCCCTCCTACTCACAGAAAGGGCACAGTGCAGGTACAAATAGCCCAGGCTCTGAAGCCTGGGGACTGTTAGAGTCACCTGGGACATTAAAGATGATTCTGGTTATTTGGAAGAAATTGGATAAGAAGGCCCATGCTTCTTTTATAATTTGAGGATGATGTGATTCAAAACATTCATTTTGTCATTTAGCTGCAGGAAAAAGGTTAGGGGAAGTTAAATTTATGTTGATAATTGAACAACAACAAAACCCCCTAGATTGGTTACATAAGGTTTCTATGGGAAAGTTTTGGTTATTTAAGTACTCCTTGGAATAGTTTAACATCCTTTTCCCCCCCTCTGTCTCCAGACAGAACTGCTCTATGCTACTAATTCATAGCTTTCATGGAGCCCTTTGGGCAGTTAGAAAAATTCAATATGCCAATGTGTCTGTATTAGTCAGGGACATCAAATGATTTCAACAATGATAATATTTTCCTTTGCTTTTCTTGGCATTCACTAGCAGGGCAACCCAAGTTTTGTACTTGAATTCAATGGAGTCTGTTATGGTCTCCCTGGTAACTAGGGACTCTCTTTAGTCATCACTGAAAGGATAGGATGGCTTCTATTGCTTGGAGCTAAATTCCTATTACTTTGCTGTTTTCCTATTTCTCCCAAAGGGTGGAAAGAGGGAGGAAATCATGTATTTGTGCAATGTTTTGAAAAGGAAATATTTATCTGTATCATATTGCTGAATGGCTTGCATTATAACAAGTCAAGAAATAGCCAGGGAACTATTTATAGAAGAGTTTCAACACAGAGCTGTTAGTGATATTGTAAATTTCTGGATATCTCCACATACTTTGAATCATGGCCTTGTATTATGCAGCTGTGTCTTGTCACTTAATGGTCATGAGAAACTGGGCCGGCCACATGTCATTGACAAGCTCCATCCCTACTGAGGTGATCAAATGACATAGCACGGAGTTGTGCATCCTACTCTATGTTTGCAGTAATGTTTGTTCTCATTGTCATTCCTTGAAACACACAGGACATATACTAGCCCTTCACTAACAAATGAACACATCTTTTTTAAAAAAATGTCCTTTTTTATTCTTTATACAAAGTGAATCTGCATTTATTTGAAAGTAAGACTTTTCTCTTTATAATTTTCTGCATGGTTGCCTTGGTTTCTTTCTTACTTCATAGGGACAGAGAAAATTTAACTTAAATGGCCTGAAAATATACTTGTGAAAGGCTTGGTCCTGAGTTCACTTGCCTGAGTGAACTCAGTGGATGCCTATGTGGAATGAGTCGAAGAGTGTTCTAAGGCTCTAGTTCACATTCCCAGGGCAACACACTTGTCTCTACAATAGCAAATGTTTCCCCCATGTGTGAAATCTACCTGGCTCATCCTACCTTCATTTCTTAGATCACAAAGATGAGAATGTTGTCTATGGATGGCCACTAACAACATGCTCACTACCCTGGATGTAGGACAGAATTGGATTTGAATGCAGAATGTAGAGTTAAATTTCCCCTTCCAATCCTTTTCTGGTTAACAAAGCAGTGAAAGTGTAGTAGCACTTGGCTTAAAAGTCAACTGCACATCTTTTCTTGTGTCTTTATTCATCATGGCCCCAGGAGACCATTTCAAAGTCTAGGGATAGCAACTATGTGCCCTGGGTATGTTCTTCCTAGTCCATGTTTAGAGATTCTTTCATGCTGCATTATAGACATGCCCTCCAGCCTGTAACATATGTTTCCACTGCTCACTGGTGAAACCTAATTGTCATTCAATTTGTGTCTCTCCAGGTAGATGAGATAGCTGAGCTATTAGAGTAGTAAAATGGACACCAAGCAAGGTCTTTTCTGGTTTGTTTCAACAGCAATGGAAGGCCTTGTAAAACAATAGCACCATTAATATTTTTATAAGTCAACCAAATGTAACTTAACAAACTTGGGCATAAAATGTTGCCTTTGAAGTAATCTGAGG